ACAATTTTAAAATTTGTATGGAAACACAAAACATCTCAAATAGCCAAAACAATCTTGAGAAAGAAGAACGGAGCTGAAGGAATCATGCTCTCTGATTTCAGAGTATACTACAAGGCTACAGGAATCAAAATAGTATGGTACTGGCATAAAAACAGACTCAGATCAACGGAACAAAATAGACAGCCCAGAAATAAACCCATGCATTTATGGTCAACTAATTTACAACAAAGGAGGCAAGAACACACAATGGAGAAAAGACAGTCTGTTCAACAAGTAGTGCTGGGAAAACTAGACAACTGCATGTAAAAGAATTATATTAGAACACCTTTAATATCATACACAAAATGAACTCAAAATCTAAGACCAGATACTATAAATCTCCCAGAGGAAAACCTGGGCAGAACATTCTTTGACATAAATCACAGAAACATTTTTTGAATCTGTCTCCTAAAGTGAAGGAAATAAAAGCAAAAATAAACAAATAGGGCCTAATGAAACTTAAAAGCTTTTGCACAGCAGAAGAAACTATTGACAGAATGAAAGGACAATACACTGAATGGAAGGATAAACTTACAAATTATATAACCAATAAGGGATTAGTATCCAACATTTTTCCAGTAGTCATGTATGGATGTAAGAGTTGGACTATAAAGAAAGCTGAGCACCAAAGAATTGATGCTTTTGAACTGTGGTGTTGGAGAAGACTCTTGAGAGTCCCTTGGACTGCAAGGAGATCCAACCAGTCCATCCTAAAGGAGATCAGTCCTGGGTGTTCATTGGAAGGACTGATGTTGAAGCTGAAACTCCAATACTTTGGCCACCTCACGCGAAGAGCTGACTCATTTGAAAAGACCCTGATGCTGGGAAAGACTGAGAGCAAGAGGAGGAGGGGGTGACAGAGGATGAGATGATTGGATGGCATCACTGACTCATTAGACATGAGTTTGGGTGAACTCTGGGAGTTGGTGATGGACAGGGAAGCCTGGCGTGCTGCAGTTCAAGGGGTCACAAAGAGTCGGACATGACTGAGTGGCTGAACTGAACTGATCCAACATATATAAATGACTCAGATAAAAGATGACTCCACTTTGATGAGAAAAAACTGCTCAACATCACTTTAGTGCTGAACATCAGCAAATTTTCTAATTGGCATCAACTGTCTTTTCCTTTTCTTTTCCTTATTCCCTCAGCACCCTATATCCTTATCCACTAAGATTTCACACTTTAATTCTGCACCAGGGTCTGCTTCAAGCTCTCCTTTGGCATGATTCCATGTATTACCACTTACGTCATTCTTACTTTAGCCACTCATCCCTAGACATATTCCAAACTCAGAATTTTCTCTTCTTTCTTAGGAAAACTCCTTTGTCCTAGGCTGCCACATTCCATGCTACTCTAGAAGAAAAACAGCATATGCTAACACATTAATATGTACAAATAACACTGCCTACCCCACTCACCAAGTGGCAACTTAACATTCAGGATTATAATTACCCAAAGGAGAACTACCACTGCTGGAAATTTTCAGGTAAATCTGTAGCAAGATAATCATTTCAGAGAGGTGACTGTCTTTGGATGTTCTTCAGATCCTCTCAGTATTTGCTGATGTTCTAGAAATAACACATGGCTTCATCAAAGGCTGATGGTCCGTCACACAAACAAGTAACTCACTTGTTACTTGGGACCCTCCAGTGTTCTTCTTCCCCTTTCTAGGTCTTAGTCATGGTAGTTTACAGGATGGTATCTAGACAAGTCAGAGAGGCCAGAGTCAAGTCATACTCACAGCCTTCTGCAAAGGCTTCATCTTGGAAAGAAAACTAGGAAAAGCAGATGGTGACTGTCACATTGGATGAGCTGTACCGTACAAACAGCATGGAGGGGTCTAAGCGGAGTCTGCATTGTCCACCCTGGGCATTAGACTGCAATGTGCATCTGACTTAGGCTGCCCTTATGAGGAACAACTACCGAACACTCATTGTTTTGATGTAAAGAGCCCTGTGGATTGCTTTTGATCTGCATATTAACAAAGACAAGAAAGACAGCCAGGTTACTTCTTAGAAGCTACAAGAAAGACATTTTCCCTTGAAAATGCGCAAGATACATCTCTGCTGGAAAATACACACACACAAACAAAACAAACAAAAAATGAAAATCCTTTTATCCAGAATCTGTAGCTTGCTTTCTTGTATTCCTCAGTACACATGAATATGTGAAAAGGCACAGCATTCAGACGTGCAGCTTGATCGAGTGATAATCTCTTATAATGTTCCTCTATTTAAAGCAACAAACAGATGGAGGGTTTATGAGCAAGGCTGGTAAAAGTAAAAGCAAATGATTCTAATAGTTGTACTTTTAATAGGATTCCCCACAATCAGAAACATTATTCCCCAAGGAAGAAATTGTTCTATAAAATTACATTACTTAGGAAAGAGACAGTCCGCCCTGCCTTTGCTGAGGCGACAGAGGACTCCAGGATGGCCTTTACTGCAGGGGCTCTCAAGTCAGATGGGCGTCCTGGAAGGACAGAGGGCTGCCCGGCACCACAATCCCGAAGAAGAAACTCAGTGGAACAGGGTCAAAAGTAGAAAGACCAAGCGGCGAAAGGGGGTATGAAGTATGTCTGAGCTTGGACTAAATTTATTACCTTCTAATTCTCTACTTTGAAAAACAAGGTTTGGGAAATTCCTAGGGATTTAAGCTAAGCATGCCGCATCGCTCCCCTCTCTGCCAATTCAGACCAAAATCTCGCTCAAGCACAGCAAATCTTCCTTAACAAACAGTGGAACTGTAAACAACCCAACACTAATTCATTATCATTATCCCTCTTTAAGAGAAACAGAACTCACTATAATTCTATCATTAAGATGAATATACCGTTTAAGGACATTACGTAAATTATAATTAAAGCTAATCTCAATGAAAGTTATTACACCATTTTGGAAGAAAATAAACAACCCAAAGAGAGGGAAACAATGTGGTCAATAACTCACTCCAAAAATATTTTTTGCCTCCAAAGCTCGCATTGAGGGAGACATTCCTGCGCATGATACAAATGGTTCTGACATTAAGAAAAGTAAACAAGTAAGAAAAATAAAGATGGAAAAATTCTGTGGTCAGTTCACAAGTGCTTTTTTATTGTTTGAGGCAGGGTTAAAGCCTTTTATAAAGACAAGGATATATGTGCCACAAGATTGGATGTGACATTGGACTAGTCTAGCTGCCCTTGCACAGGACTCTGGCTGCCCGTAATATGCCATGGACAAAACATGTGCTGGTGCTTTCAAACAAAGAACCAGGGTGGGGCTGAATACAGCTCATTTAAAGCATTATCCCAATGCTGTTTTGTAGATCAAAAAGAGTAAAGATACTTTACTCTGGTTATTAATGGATTTGAGAGAAAAAGCCAAACATTCAATATTCTCTAATTATTAATGGTCTTAAGGATTTTGATCTAAATTTGTCTCAATAACTGATTACTGAATGTTGTGTGTAATCTACAACAGGGACTCCTGCCAACCCCAGCGCAAGTCATTCAAGGACTGTGTTGACTCAGTTGGCCAGACACCACGGAAATGGACTAGAACAGAGAAAGTGAGCTCTTCTTGCATGGCTCAGGGGTTCTGAATCCTTAAAGACTTTTACCATAGCAGCTCTCTAGTCTTTTGGTATCCATAACTAGGAACGATTCTCATTTACATTTTGTTGTCCTTAAACTAACCGAATACTGGGAGACCCTGGACAATGAACACTTGATCTAAATAAAAATAAACATCCATGCTACTGTGTCAAGAGCAAACAGCCTTTCCAACATCCTCTACTGGTGTACCGGTATATTAAATGGAACTACAGCCATCCAGCCAGCATGATGATGTTCACTTTCTTTGTAACATTAGGGCTGGAATATAAACAAAGGTATACAGAGACCATCTCACAAGCTGTGGATTTCATTTCTGAGAGATTCTGAGAAATATACTGAATTCAAAGGGTTTGTGCCTTTTATTAAAAACTGTTTGGTCTAGTGAGTGTTTTGTACAGTCTCCACTTTCCGTTTTAACTTCCTGACCTATTGCTCTACCTTTTATCACCTCACTACCTTTATATAGCAGCCAGAGGAGTAAGCCAGCTCCAAACACACATATACCCATAGACATAGCTGGGAGGGTATGTGGTTAAAAACAAAAACATAAGAGTCCTTGGATAGAACCTGGTTTTGCGAAAGATGCCTGACACTGCCTAGTATTCAGGGCAAGAAGAGGATTTAGAAATGAACAAAACATGGTAAAATCCATGCCTTCGAAGTCAAGGTTTAGTGACAGCAGTTTACTCCAAACAACAAATTGTAAGAGCACAAAGCTCATCATAAAAATACAACGTGGTTAAGAACTCACCTCTTCTGTTCTCCAAAAAACTAACTGAAATGAATTGCCTGTGATAAATATGCTAAAGGATGATGAGAATGGGGTGGGAGGGGACTATGCAGAATACAAGAGATTAAGATTTAAGGGAAATAACAGAAAGAAGGCTTCCTCTAAACTGATTGTGTCACTAAAAATCAACCCACAGCACAATGGTATCAGAAGGACCTCTGCTCAATAGGCAAGCTAAAGACAGTCTCTCGCACTTGACGACAACCACTGAGCATGCTCAGGGAGGCCCCAGGTGTGACCTCTGCTCCCCTGTGAGCAGTGGAGGGGCCAGGCAATCTATCATGGTGTTCATCCTGTCAGCCCTGCTGCTCTGCCACCACTGTCTGTCGCCCTAGTGGATGAGACCTGCTTAAGGGCAATCATGTCAATCTCCGTGTGACCACTCAGTCTAAGGCAGAAGGATGATCCTGACAGGGCTGGCAAAGTCAGCAGAAGGTACCAAAAGCTGAAGTCATAGCTTTCCTACAGAGAAGGGATGTGGGCCATTGTCTTTTCATTTAGCTTTTCCTTTATTTTTGCTTTTTTTTTTTTTTTCTAACTCTCATGTCACTGGCTAAGGCATAGAGAACTTGCCTTTCAGAGCTGGTCATCACGGATAAACCTGTTGCCCTCTGAGTTTTTCCCGTAGTAAATATAGCGACACTTCCCCAGGACACCTGAAAATTAAAAGAAACACAATTATTACTGATGGGACAAGTATTATAGCAAGAAAACATTGGTGCTCATGGCAGAAATATAATCACAAAGCCCATGGGTGGTGGCAAATGGATTAAGCCCCCAAAGAGAAGGACTCTACTTTCTTGCCCTTAGAGTTGACATTCAAATAAAATGTTACCAGAGCACAGGCTCCTAGGAAGAATATTTTTCCTGAATGATTTGCCTTTCACATTTTAAAGAATTTTCTAGTTTGGCCAGCTACTTCTCAAAACAAAGCAAAACCCTCATTCTCTCTCCAAGTTCACTTAGTAGACTTTCTAAAAATGGAAAATTAAGAATTAAAAGTCAGGCTCAGTCTAAACAAAAGATATAAAACAATCCTTCCAGAATGTTGAGTTTCAAATCCTTTATCATGAATCAATTTTGTTAATACCCAGACAGAACCTTCCAAATCACAGCAGACATCAAGTACATAATGGATGATTAAGGAAGGATGGTGTTCACAAAATGCCACTTAGAAAGTAACAGTGCCTCTGACAGCAAATGGTTTCTTCTTACAGGGGTCCTGAATTATACTCTCAGGTCGGAATGCACTTGATTTTCATCTTCAGTTTTATTTTAAATAATTTTGTGGCTCCATATACAGCTTTTCTGTCATTCACAGAGATTATAAGAGGACTTTAAATGATGCCCCTAGAATAACGTCAAACCTTTCAAGCAACTCACCACTTATCCTAAATACCCATAAGAAATCACTTGCCATAGTTATTTTGAAAGCTTTGCAGGATTATTAAGAAAATATCAGTTTTTTTGCACAAAAATATTTATAACTACAATTTGATTTTTGCCACCTTTGGTTTATTTCCTTCTAATTTAAGAAAAACTAACTTAAAACTCAGCTTCATGGAGTTGTCTTATTACTTAATAGTACTTGAGTCTCTGAAATGTGCATAACCAGAAAAAAAAAGTGTCCATACACATAAATTCATGAAATACAAATCTGTCTATAAAAAGTTACCCATATACATGTTTTTTCCCCATTATTTTGATAGTGTGAAACTAACAACCACCATCTAATATTCCTCTGGGATAAATCAGCACTTGAAAATCATGCAGGTTCTTCACATCAGAAGTCCTACGTGGTAAATATTTGGGTCACTGTATAGGAGATATTTCTCCACTACAGACTGTATTCTTCAACATGGCTTCAAAATGACTTAGAAACTTTTAAAGACAAGGCAGATGTTCCTTGGTTTGGATGACTTGGGACACCATGGAGAATTGCTGGAGTCACAGAATCTCTGCAAGTTTGCATTCGGGAGAGGATGACATCATTTCATGGCCCCAGAATGGGCCTTGGGCTGGCTGTCATCACCTCTGTTTCCTGCCAGGGTCCCCTGAGAAAGTTCACTGTGGACCACTCTTCACCTTTGGCCATGCTTTCTTCTTGGCCCCTAGTCCCCAGGTTCTGCTTTCCAGTATTGGTCTGGTGCCTGGAAACACTGAGGTTGGATGAAACCTCCCTGAGACCCTTCTTGGGGCCTAAATTGTTCTTTTGGCTGTTGACACTGAGCTGTTCTGTTTACTGCGCTGAATTCCACAGCACCTGGAATTGTGCTAACATGGTCTTCAGAGCCAGGACAGGTCTGTGGGCGTGGCTCGAGGCTGCAGTCTCTGAACAGCACCCCCTACAGGCCTGGGTGGGAGTGTCTCAAAAGTCCTTGAAAATCCACAAGGGGGTTCCTTAAACATAAGTGATTCCAAGAAATCCTCAAGAATGTGGAAGGATGAGGCTACGGGATGTTACTTTCTCTCTACAGCACCAGGACAGCAAGAATTTTTATAGAAAGAAATGAATAGGGCTGTCAGATGTTATAAAGAACATAGTCTTTCTCTTGAGTAAAAGAATGAAAGGCAGATACAGACACACATACTCACACACACATGCGCGCGCGCACACACACACACAAAACACCAGCGGGTGCATTTGCTCCAGGAAACTCCCCAGAACATTAGGGACTGAATTTCTTCTCTCTGCGCTCTCTCCATGGCAAACTTCAACTGCAGACCTTGCCTACAGACAACCTGGATAGCAAGAGCCCTTCTAGAAACAGCCTGGATATTCCTGAACCCGGGCTGTATGCGGAGGGAGGGGATGTGTTCTGAGGCACGCAGAACCCTGCCCTTCTGTTCTGGCCGGCACTGATAAAAGTCCTTTTTAAGGCCTGCCCTGTTCCTGTGGGCCTGAAAGTGAGAATGTTTATAGACACCCTGGTGAGAAAGGGCTGTTTGATGAATGCAGGAGACTGTGGCAAAGTGTCAGAGCTTGGAAAATGAGGCAAGGACATGAGGTATTAATATTGTCAATGATCTCTTGACGGGAAAACAGATACCACGTTCACCCTCAGATTTAAATAGACATCAAGTGCATTAATGACAAGAGGGCCGACTTCAAACAAAGGGGCTGTGTGGTGGGGAGCAGAGCCAGTCTCCGGGCTGGCATAACCTGATCTGAAAAGACACTGTCAGGGCTCGAGACAGGCCCAGGATTGTGTGCGGTGACAGAAAACAGAGATGCTGACAGAGATACCAGAGCCATATTATGCCAAGGATATTCTAACACTGTTCGCTGCTCTAACAAAAGCTGACATCACTCCCCAGCACTTGGGGTCTTCCTCGCCTGCTCCTGCATGTCTGTTTCTCCCCAGACATCATTACGAAACTTGCGACCATGGCCAAGTTCCTGGCAGCCCTGTTCCATCAGAGCACTGGGGTCATGAGGCCCGAGGATGACCTCAGTCAATCTAAATTTGGACTCTGCAGGAGGACCACACTCCCACCCCCTGATATCCTGGCTACTTGAGTTGGTCAGAGCGCCAACGTGTGAGGAGCTGTCACCTTGAATAAAATCGGAAAGGAAGGCCCTCAGTCTGCGGGCTCCTCCAGGAAGGCGCAGGGACAGCCTGGCAGCCCGACGATGAAATCCAGCTGCTGCTGCTCCCCTGGGGAGAAAGGTGGTACGGCTAGCGACAGTTAGAGTCAGATGAGATTTCTGAACTTGAACCACCAACGACTGCTTAAATTAACCAAGTGGTAGCCTCCATTGAGCCGCTGACCTAAGCTCACAGCTGGGAATGGATAACCCTGCCCCCAAAGAGGATTTTCATGCTTAATAAATAAATAAGTAAATAACATTAGCATGGGGAGGGGGGCGGGAAAGGCAGCGCTAAGACTTCATTTGTCATGAAGATTATACGATCTGCTCATAAATGAAGGGACACTGTGACTGTGTGTTTCCCTCTCTCTGGCTCTCCCCCGGCCTTCCTTCTCCATCATGGCAACTGCCATAAACTGTGCAAACTACGGAGGAAACAGTTTGCTTACAAAGAACGTTTGATGGGGAGGCGCTCCGAGGTTGGAATTCGGGAACCCGCTGGTGGTGACTTGGTAGGCGGTGGTTTCTGTGTACATCTGCAATGCATTCACTTGTTTGTATCTCTTCAAACTCTAAATGTCTTGGGACTAGATGGGGAACAACACATTTAATGGCATATGTAGTGTTTCTAATTAAAATATCTGGCTTTGCCCATAATAAGTGAAGCAGGCTTGCCGTGAATCAGGCTGACGTTTAGCTGTCTGCGCGGGGCTTCTTTCGGGGAGCCCTGAAAGATGACAGTGCCCTGTCCCCTTGGGTATCTTCTCCTACCAAATGAGACAGTCTAATTTTTCTTAAGTAGCCAGCTCTACCATCACTGTAAGCTCTTAAAACTTTAGTTCTGGAAAAGATATGCCGGGAAAAGTCTATTTTAAAGAGGTCCTTTATCTTTAAAATGTCCCCTGCCCCCACACTGGAATGGGTGTTCTAATTACGCAGGTTAGGTTATGACCTTGGGGCTGCCTGGGGGTTGGGACTCAACATCTTTTCTCGGCTGCACCAGTGTGGCGATGGTACGGATAGGACTGAGGAAAACCCTAAGTGTCCTGGAAAGGAAATCTTTGCATACCCTTGTAGAGGCCAGCAAACACCCCAGGACTTGCTGACATCCCAGATGGCCTTGTCTTACCATCTATTTAATAAGGGGAGGTGGAGAAAGACCTGTATTTAAATCCAGTTTGGCCCCTAACAGCTGAGGACACATACCCACATACATTCCCTCACTGGGGCTGGTTTTCCCATTTGTAAAATGAGGGCAAGGGGCCAGATATCCCAGAGTTCCACCTTGCTTGTGAAATAGATGATTCAGCATTTCTGAATGTTTCCCTTATGAAGATAAGGATGCCAGGTACTATACTCCCTGATGTAGGAGACAGAGACAATGGTTAGTTAATCAAAATTTGATTTGGACCAAGTCAGCTTTTGAAACCCACCCAGCCCATTTCCCCATAATACATAAAAGGGAGCTTTGCTGGACCTCCAAACACCCAAGGAAAGAATTTTGACTCACTTTCTTGCAGCCTGCATTTCATACCCAGAGCTGGGACACGCTCACCACTCATGTCCCCCTACTTTTGACATAGCTCGAGTCTCCTAACTCTGTGTTCAATAGAACTGAAGACTAAATATCAGAGTAAATGGTCTACCATTTGTATTTTAGCTGTGAAAGAATAATAGTCTTTCCTCATAAAAAACTCATCTGATGATGGAGTACCAGCTGGACCAATAAATTCATCTTTGTAACATGGAGAAGGTATAGATTTTATTATCACTAATAATGTTAGTTTTGGTAGTCATTGCTTTAAATGCTATTATCGCAAATGTATGTAAGTGTAACTGTGTAATGACAAACAGATTGTAATCTGTTTGTGATCACTAGCACCTTCCAATTAGTGCTACAAAATAAGCAAGGGACAGAGGACTCCTCATTCAACTCCTGTTTTCCCATCTGTATGGGTAAAGCAAGGAACCAGGCTCTTTGTGGCCTCTGAAGAGTGATGATGATATTGTGAAGACGTGGGTGGGCCCAGAGATGGAAAGAATATCTGGAGAGTCTTTCTGGTT